ATTTAAGCATTGAAAAGGAAAGACAAATTAAAATTATTGAGCTATTTTTCCTTCACCCATGATTATGCAGCAATTTATCAACAAAATGGAACAAGAACATCTGACTGGGATTATTTATTATACAGTAAGGCATTTATTTTTTGTTCACTTCACCAGGAACAGTGTCCCTGTTATGGCTAGTTAGCCATCTGTGTCCTAAGAGCTTTCAGGGAAGGATTAAACTGTCATTTGTTTTATTTCCTTTCATGAAATAACTATCCTAACAGGGCTGAGGCAAGACTTGGATATTGCTGGACTTGCTACCTTAAGGTGGCATGAAAAAGAGTAACTGGATCTTCCCTGGAGCTAAAGCAAAGCAATGAAAAGTTCGGGGTTTTGGTTTTGTTCTTTACTCCCTTTTTACTCAGTAACATGCAATATCACTACTGAAGTGCTCCTACTGGAAATTGCGTAGATCAGACAATCTCTGCGCCACGCTTAGGCAGAAGTGGAATTACCTGCAGATTTTTTTTTAAATCTGATTCATTCACTACATTTAGCCAATATGGCTTGGGTTTAAGCACTGAGAGAATGTGCAGCTAATCAGGCCTGGAAGCAGGAGGCTGACAAAAATAAACAAAGAAGGAAGAGGTATGCCATGTCCAGGTGGTAAGGGTTTACCAGCCCTCACCCATTGATTCGCAACCCCACACACAGAAGGCCAGCACCGTTCTCGCAAGGATGACTGCAGCATGTGGCATCCCTTCCCCATCGACAACTCCGTAAGTGGGTCTAAAAACTTCTAGCACTTCTTCCCTGGAAAGAATGAGCAAAATAAGCTGCCTGATTCAGAGAAAGATAATCTGTGCCCTCAGTAAGAGCAAACATGTGGGAAAACTATTTGCTAGAAGAATGTACCTTGCGGCTATTGCCAAAGATTTTGATGGGTGTAACTGTGCTTTGGATAGCTTTATGGCTGCGCAGTGGAAATTGCTCATAATGAATGATAACATCTACATTTCTCTAACACCTTTCGTCCAGAAATCAAAAGCACTTTTCAAAGAAAGGGTCAGATTTTGAATGCTTGATGCTAGCAGCTCCTCATGCCATACTTTTACAGACCAATTTTTTTGAAACAACTTGGTAGCCAAAGCTCTCTGGCTATGCTTCAAGTGACAGCTGAGCTTTCTTGAAAAAAGTGACCCACACAGCATTTCACCGCTGAAGCGCAACTGCCTCTGGGGTGGAAGAGACGCACCCTGGAGCGGCTGGCACCAGCACTGTGCTGAACCTCGAAAGGGACAGTTTAGCCAAGGAGGGCAAGCTCTGCTCTTACAACAGGTGCCAAACATTTGTAAGGATCAGACAACGGCTTTTCTCAAGGTCTTGGCTTCAAGGACCATACATAATATTGCAGTGAATTCCATGTATCACCTTCGATAGAGAAAAACAGCTGGTCTGTCTTGAGTGAGTGTGAGTTAAAGAACCAAGTATCGCACATGAGCCATCAACTACAGCTTTGGAGACTCTGCTCCGGCAGGAGCCGTTCTGACACAGAAAACAGCAGTATTGCAGGAGAATTGAAGTACTGACATCTATAGGATGTTAAACATTTCCAACAGTTACAATAAGAAGAAACCCATAAATAATATCCATTCTTCCCTAAAATTTCCTACATTGACTGGTTCACAGCAAGAACCAGTCTAGCTTTTCTGCTCATCGTTGTTCATGTGCTATTTACTGCAGTCCCAAAGTGGGACTTACTGCAGTCCCTGTGTCTTGCCTGGACTGGCCTGCAGGACATCCCCAGTATGATGCCAGGAATGACAGGGAAGAAGCACCTGCAGCAAATTAATGGGATACACAGAGGTAGCAGTGGGGATGGACAGAGCTCTGCAAGAATTACAGCCGTCAGCTCTGCCCCATGCTGCCTGTTGAGGGTGGGAAGGGGACGGGCTTTCTTCCAGGTAGCAGGGAGGCTTCAGCCCACCCCTGCTCCCCATTTGCATTACATTTGCTTCCCATTAGCATGCCTCTTGCTGGGAGGGCAAATGAGAGGCTCATTCAGACCATTGCTGCTTTGGTGGGACTGTGAGCAATGAAACATCGACTCCTCACATCTGTCCCTGAGAATTCATGGGAAGATCTTCCTGCTGTTGCAAGCCTAACCACGTACACACAGGCCCCTCCAATTCAGTTGTTATTACATGGATCTCACCAATGACCCCAGCGTGACAGCACAGTACCTCCTGCCCAAATTTTCTGAAGCTGCTCTGCTTTCTAATCCCTGTTATGTTTGTGTCATACTTGAAATAACCTGGTCACAAGCTGCAGGGTTGCAACTCCACAGAGCTGTGGCCAGGCTCCCTTAACTCTAGGAGCATCTAGTTCTCCTGATCAGTTCCCAGGCAAATAAAAGCCAAGGAAGAGCAAGGACACCAATGGGGGACAGTATTTTTTTAACAGGAATGCAATTATAACATAGGCAGACTGCCTCTGTTCACCTCCCCAAATTAAAATCATCTTTTTCTTATGCTCTTACCTAAGAATGAGACCAGAATGTGATCCACTCTGCTTCTGACTGCATTTACTGGCCAGAAAGAGGCTGCAACGAGCCAAGAGGCAAGTCTCCCAGTGCAAGAATGGTCGAAGGCAGGAGCGTGTACTCACATGGCTGCTATAGGACAGGGCAGAGGCTTGCAGAGAGGGAGGAGACACGTCTCTGTGGAAGACCTGTGAATTCAGGGCTATGGGACAACTCCACAGCCTGTTATAAAGCATAGCAGCTCCTCCTGTAGCTCTGCTGGCGGAGTGCCAGAGTGCAAGATCAGCCCAATTCACCCTCAAGCAATTTCTTTTTTTTTTTTTTTTTTTACCCCCCCACCCCCCCCCCCCCCCAGGCTTTTAAATTCCCCTACCCCCCCCCT